GAGAGAGAGAGAGAGAGAGAGAGAGAGAGAGAGAGAGAGAGAGAGAGATCAGAGTGCCTTGGTGACTACCTCAGAGAGCCTTCTCTTGGTTCAGACTTCAGCATCATTTTTGGAGTTGGAGTGGACTGGAGCAGAGATTGTGATTGTTTTGAACGTCATATCTGGCCCCTCTCTTTTTCTTCTCCATCTTCATCCTCTTCTTCTTCGTGCCCCACCTCCACTTATAATTGGTGGTTCTCCCCATCTCTATCATCACTTTGCTCTTTCATTGATTCATCCCTTCTCTCTACTGTATGTACACTACCAGGGAACACCCACCAATCTGTACCTCTCCATAACGGATAGGATAGGTTGGCACCACAGTGTTGATTGCGAGAGCCAAGCCATATAAGCCCTTCATAACACTGACATGAGACTGGGCGGGCTACCGGCTATGCTAGTGCTGGCACTGTGGCCAGTCACTGCAAAGACCCTTACCCCCTCATCCAGCCCACATTAGTGGCTTCTAGGAGCCAATGTAATGAACCCAGTCTGGCAGATACTCGTCAGACGTCAAGCACAAGTAGTCTCAGATCTGCACAAAAGTCTCCAGTAAACATGAAGTGATATCTGAAACAGTATCTCGTTACCTTTAGACGAAGAGAGTGGAGGGAGAATAGACAGAGGAGAAGGTGGAAGAGATGAACAATGATCACCCAAGAGTAACCCCACTTCTTCTCCGGGCTTCCTCTCTCCTCCACGTCATCAACCAGTACACGATAACAAGTATGATAAGTCCTGATCACACAGAAGTGCCACGTGGCACTCTTATCTCGTGAAGACCATGAAGACAACAGCAGATTATGGTAACAACGTCAACCTCAGGTGAGTACCAGATCCCGATCTCCCTCCTTGTCGCAACCAGTCACCTCATGTAGACAGCATGGCCAATGCCACGTCAGATGTAGAGACAGGTGGCATGCGCCACATCATCAATGAAGACAGGTGGCAGCACCACATCAGCAACACAATGTAGACATGTGGCAGTGCCACATCAGCAATGCAGATAAGTGGCATGCGGCACATCAGCAATGTAGACCAATGGCATGCGCCACATCAACAATGCAGACAAGTGGCATGCGCCACATCAGCAGGATAGACAGGTGGCAGCGCCACATCAGCAATGCCTGGCGCACAAAGCAGAAAGCGCCAGCGTGCTCCCACAGTCCAGCGTCGTCATCCACAGTGCCTGTGCACAGCCAGCGTCAAGCCAGCGTCAATGCCAGCGTCCAGTCAGAGTCGAGCCAGCGCCAAAGCAGCATAGCAAGACTGAAGTCTGACCACCTTGAGACGAGTCTCTTTGTAGTGTTTGACGAGGCTGTCTGGCCTCGGGTCCCCTCCCCACAGATAGTACAGATTGACTCACAGCCGAGGGCCTGGATGGTGTACAGTTGCAGATTTCCCCTTGGTCCTGATGCTGTCTGGGTACCTGCATACAAACAAGTGTGTGCGTCTGACTGGCGGCCTGGGCTGGGTCCACTTTGGACTTTGACTGTTGGGTCCCGACAGTTGACATTTGTCAACTGTACCTCGCTCAGGCCCTGAATCTTTAGCTGGGGTCTTTTTCCCCTTTTCGGCCTCGCGAGGCCCTCAGTTTTTCCCATGAGGCATACAACATGGGTTATTGCACCAACAGCAGTTCGATGACAGCCAACAATCTTGGCTGAGGTCCTGTTAACGATGGCTGGGGGGGCCAGCAGGCAATCTCTAGATAGCGATACAACTACCTGTGCAGCAAGCAGAATCCTGATTTTGTTCGTGCGACTATCTTTGGGAAGTGGCTTTGCTCCTGAGACAATCATTGAGAAGGGGGATTGTCTGGGGTGCAGGTATTTGAAAGCTGAAGCCACATTTGGCTAGGATTATATCACATATTCTTATTGGTTGAATAACTTGAATTTATGAACACTTCCAATTTTCCTGATTTTTTTTCTTCGTTTTTTTTTAATTCTCTGTTTTTTTTTTGGTGCACCACACCACTCCTGGTGTACAGTGCACTGCATAGCTGTGTTGCACGGTATGACACAGACTCATGGCAGACCAGAGTGGGACAAACGAAAGAAAAGTATTAAAAAACATGTTCTGGCAAATCAATGCAGAAAAATGCACTGTGCTCGTGAATCAAGGTGACGACTTAATGTACAGTGGTTTGGAGGTGTATAAATCGTCTTTCTCTACCAGAGGGGCAGAGGCTGGCGTTTAAAGAGCTCACCAACAGCAATGGGATCAGTTGAGGCAGTCACAGCTTCACCAACAATACCATCATCTCGAACAGGAGTGTACTCTGCCACAAGCGTGTAGCCAACATCATCTGCCATTGCTTCATAGGTTTTACCATTCTGACCTGCAAATTGACGGATTCAATTAGCACCAAATGCCTAATGTCTGAAAGGGAAATGTGCTATAAGCCACACAATAGAAGAGTCCAAAGGGAAATGGACCAAGGAACACAACTCCATAGAATCAAGTTTGAAATCACGAAGCTCATAGGAAATGAATCGGAAGTCTTTGAGGCCACCATGCATTTCACACTTGCACACAAATCTCACACAAGTTCTGTCACACATGAAACACACATGAAATATGAACTCCAAAAATAGTATCGACAATCAAAACCAGCCACTGGATTGTCTTCTCTGTCCTCGGCTGCTATGGCCGCTTAGACAACACAGGTAAAACTCTTGCTCGCATATGTAATAACATGCAAAATTCCAGACTGTGAAACCTGTGCTTTTCTGAGTTTTATCGCTGTTCTGTGTGTTTGCTGGTTCCCTGCTGTCTGAGTCTGTGTGCTGTGTGTTATAAGCTTCCCCCACAACAACCCCTATTCCAACCAGACGAGTAGAACCGGACTGAGTCCGCCCAAACAGGCAGCACGAATCATAATAGAACCATTTTGAACCGTGTTTAGCTAGGGTTTCTTTGGGGCAACAGCTCCTCTTTCACTTTGCCTCGCACATACAAGGCTGCCCACGTTGATGGTGGTTGAGCGGCAGCTGCCCACATCCCCGTGTGCCTTAACGGCCCACTTGCACGTTATAATAAGAGGCAGAAGGGGAAGGTATGCTCCTGTGCACTTCAGTTCAGATCTTCATACTCGTGTTCATTTCACTTCAGATCTCCAGCTGTTCATTTCCCTTCAGATCTCCAGCTGTTCATTTCACTTCGGGTCTTCAGCATATGCTTAGTCTTTGTGTTTGTCGTTCGTCTTCATACTCCTGTTCATTTCTCTTCAAATCTTCAACTTATACTTTGTCTGTACTCTTACTGATGCTCATTCGTATGTATTTCCTAGTTGCACRYAAGGAGAGGGCGGAGGGAAAGGGACAGGAGGTAAGTTTGTCAGGACGTGAGGTAGGGGGAAAGCAGAGTGCAAGGGTAGGGCAGAGGAGAGGTATATGATGGGCTTCGCAGAATTCTAAACACTCACCGCTGGAATAGCACATGAGGTTCATTTGTGTTTGGGTTGCACAAGATTTTGAGTCAAGGAGCAGTTATTGCCTATGGTAAGTGACAATCCCTACAGACCGGACAGGACTGGTTCAGGTGTGGACTGTGGAAGCACCGCATCCAGTTTTCGCAGTCACAGTTGCTGCATCGAATGGCACGGCGCAGACAGATGTCACAGGCAACGTGGCTCCTACATGCTAGGAACACGGAGGCACGTCGACCACAATTATAGAGGCACTGCCGTTCTAGCCCCTGTCTACAAATTGGACATGACATGTCAGGGTGCCGTACATGAGTACAGTGCTGACTGTCGTCGTAGGTATGAAAGCAGAAACGCGCACGGACTATTCCTTCATAATCCTCACCGCACAAAGCATGTGAACCACATGCAAGTCGAATCTCCGGCGGAACATCACATAGCGGCATAGAGCATGTTTCCTGGGTTTCCTCAGTATTTATTCCTTCTGTATGGGCAGACGACGACAGGGAGGGTCGGTCCAAAGCAAGGGCGTTCAGCTGCTGCAGGATTTGGTCCACAACAGCTCGCCTTGATGGTGATAAGCGATCAGTACCCCGCTCTGAAGCTGGTTCATATAGAGGCCCATTTTCCTCCTCAGGCTGCTGTGTGTCGCACGTCTGGCAAGGAAGAGGAAGAACCCTCTGCGGTTGCCGTAGGTGTATGACCAACACCGCATGTGGGACACGCTAGGAGAGGATGTGGTGGGTGATGGCACCGGGGATAGTCCACGCAGTAAAGACATACTTTCTATGACTGCTTCCTGGAAGCACTGACGACACATGGCATGTTGCTGACATGTCATCAGTATGGAAGAATGACGTGCACAGTTATTTAAGCATGGCAGATCAAGGCCACAACGGCATGCTGGGCAAGTAATCAGGGGGTGGGGGGGAGAGAGGTCCGTTCATTGTTTGTGGTAGGACCAGCCAGATTGCTCTGCAGGGGCTGTAGTGCTTGCGAGTCGTGATCGACATACTGTTCCTGATGGACGAGCCAGACTGCGTGACCCTCCTCCATTTGGTGATAGAAAGAATTAACATTTCCTGTTGTGTGCATCCTGCTGCCGTTGTCCCATAGGGTCCATGAGTTATCTGCAAAGGTAAAAGCACTAAAATGACCTGGACAATATAAGATATATGCCCGAATATTTGGATACATGTCTGTACCTGGAAGGACCTTGGATGGGGTTATGAAGTCAAGAGGACTCTGGAGAGTAATGTAGGCTTGGAAGTGGTAGTGGCGGGGCTAAGAGAGCTTTGAATTGTCCTTTGAACATCCGGGCTATGCTTGGATGCTGCCGCCATAGACAGATGCTCAATCATGTAGTAGTAGGACGTGTAGGAGGTCAAATGTGCCTTCTTGTTATGCTGGCAGTAAGGGGGAGATTCGGACATTGATTCTGGTTCATTTATTCATTGTCATGGTTATTATTAACAAGCCGCAGCTACGCCCGTGGCGCATACTGCTCTTCCTACTCCCTTTCGTTCCTGATCCACTCCCTCCTCCTCCCTCCCGTTCCTGTGCCACCTCCTCTCCGTCCTGCTCTCCCATCCTCCTCGTCTGCAAGTCGTGCGTGCGGGTTGGATGGCACAGTCCAATTGGGCAGCACGATGTTGGGCGGGTCATACTATGTGGACTGGATGGTACTAACACAAATTCCCACCCCCCGCAAAAAAAAGAACACAGACACAACCACGAAAAAAAAAAAGAATATGGCCAACCTCACGCACAATCCGGTCCTCACCCGGGTCATACTATGCCGACCGGGCGGTGCCATGTCGGCAGGGTGGTATTATGTGGCCTGGATGATACCAAGCGGGTTGTGTGGTACTATGTGGCACGGGTCGTATTACGTGGACCGGGTGCCACTACGGGTTGGGTGGCACTAGGCAGGGTGGGTTACAGCATGTGGACTGGATCACACCATGTGGGCTGGCATGCACAGTGTGGGGTAAGGGGCCGATGCTTTGTGGGCTATGTGGCACAAACAACCCCCTGGAAAAAGGAAAAAAAACGAAAAAAGAAAAACCATGCCCAGAGGGATTAGATCTCGCTACCTGCAGAGGGTGACAGGCCTTCTTTCCATAGAACTGGGGTTGCTTTGTAATCAAACATACAGAACAGCTCTGTTCGAACTCCAAGTGGGGCACAGATTTGAGCTCCCGTCCAAACCCCCTATGCACTTGTATTCGGACATCCAGAAATGGCGAGCGAACCAAACAGGAGGCGGCACCACCACCTCAGCCAGCCGTAAAAAAAAAGAACAAGAAAAAGAAGTGCGGCCACATAACATACCGACTTGGTACGTGCACTGAATTGTCAAAATACAGACCTCTGTTCGAATCCACCAAAGAGTCTCAGCTTAATGTTGGAGGTGTGTGTTTCCACACCGTAGATCTGTTCTTTTTTTGTTTGTTTGTTTTTGCTTTTGCAGATCCATTCTCGTTTAGCACATTGGGTGAGTGGTGAGGCGAGACCCATGGTCGTTTGGGTGGAAAGATATGGCACTATGTACTTGTATTCTGCAATCTTTCCACGTTGTAGCAGCAGATGCAGGGCCTTGCTCCAGGAGTCACCGCATGCGCAAAAGACAAAAAGTATGCCAGTGTATCTTCCCATGTTCTAGTGGAAGATACATTATCATTTTGCACATCCGTGAGTAGCACAGGCCCATGGTGCTTTGGGTGGAAAGATGCAGCGCTATGTACTTGTATTCGAACATGGTTGAGTGCATGGTGCTGCATTGCTTTGTGGGCGCTTTGGGTTCTTTTCCTACTCTCTATGATCTTGGCTGATGTGGATGCGTTTGTGGACTGCTCGCTCACCAGTTGGATGAATGTGGAGTATCTCAATTCACAATGCTTATTCTTTCGATGGTGCTTCATATTACATTCTGATTGTGGCTGTAGTTGAGTAGAGTGCAGGTGAAGTTGTCTTTTCCTTTCAGTTTCTCAGGGCTGGCATTAGGGAAGCATTACCAAGCTCTTTTTCTTATGGAGGAAAGGCTCCTTCCTATTATAGGAAGTGGGTAGGGTTGTCAGCCTACCTCGGGGCATGTGTACCTAGTGGGATCCTATCTCAGGAAGAAGAGAACTTGGATGCCACCAATCCTAGTGCCGCTTAGGCAACCCCCTGATGCATTGGAAGGTTAGACATCGTAGGATGTACTATTTAGTTCCAACTGGATCTTGGTTGTGTTCTTCCACAAATCCTCACAATAAGTCCGTTGCTTGACTTGCGATTCTCTACTCCCTTGACTCCCCAGTGCTTCAACTGTTTCTACTTCCTCTCTCTGGTCTATCTGACAACTTTTTGATCTTGGTTTGGTAAAGTTGTATCTTAAGTAAGAGTGTATCTCGTGCTTGACCTAACGAGACTTAGGCGACTAAATCAAACCTCAATTGTTCTTGTTGTGGCTCTCTAGTCCGGATGGGATGCCGTTCCAGCTAGGAGTTCTACCTTCCTTCTCTTGTGCTGTATTAATTGACTCTTCTTTAGAGTTTGATCAGATGCCTTTCACGATGCGTTTTCAAAAGAGAGAAAAGGAGAGGAGAGAAAGTGGGAGTGCCTACCTTGAGAGGACTGGAAAAAGGAGTGCTCATCCTGAGAAAGAAAGAAAACGAGTGTGCTCATCCTGAGGGACTTATTGAAACTTCATCCGCTTTACCACTCTCTGACAAACAATCGGATCCTGAGAGCTTAAGCTCTAACCGTCGGACTAACATGGCCATGAATTTGATACAGTTGACTGCCCTAAGGGACCAGGCAAGTGGGGAAGAAAAAAGCATTGTACGGAAGGCCTTTAGCACTGGAGTAGGAGGAGGAGGAGGAGGAACATAGGAGTGAAGAGAGCCGCAGGAATGAGGCACTTAAACCACCAGTACATCGCCCCAACCAACTTGAAAATCACGATTGATCAATCCGAGAAGTTCGGATGAACAGTGCTACCGTACCAAAATGGTTGGCCACACCAGCCAAAAGAAAACTAAAACGCCGTGCTTGTGTTTCAGCAAAGCTTGGCGTGCAGGGGGGGTTGAGGGATCGTGAATTTTACCTTGGATGTACTGGTGGTTTAAGGCCCATGATGCCCTTTTGCAGACCATCCCAACTTTGAAAGACAACGAGGCCATGGGCCTAACTGTCACCCTTTTCAGGGCTATAGCAGATTTCCATCGCTATGTTGGAACTGCCGATAGCTTGGCCAAGGTCTAGGAGCAGTTGGCGGATCAGATCCAAGTGTTACACAAGCAGTTGCTGGTTCCTCCCATAGCCAGTCACGTGTCGATCCAAGGGCAACACATTTGCCCCCATGATCTGAAGGAAAAATAGATGTGGTTTCCTGGACTTGAAAGATCCAGCCCTACGTCCAAGTTGCCATATTCCAGTGGAAGATCAGACTGCAATCCTGGCCACAAATGTGGAACTTGACATTGAAAGCTTCTTGGAAGCTAAGGCTATGGAGGCAGGGTTTTCAAGACCGAATTTCGATGGCTGGCTACAGGTCACGCCCTTGGTAGATATTGAGTAGATAGCGATCCAACAATGTGAGCCCCATCAAGCTGCCCTCAAAGGAGAATTTGGCAAATTCCGAAAGCTACTCCGAAAAGGGTTTTATAAATTTATAGTACTTTTTTTTTTTTTTTTTTTTTTTTTTTTTTAAAMAGGGCYTTWTGGWYTTKACTCCTATTCTGGGGAGCGTCAGTCCGGTTCCTATTCCACCGGCAAGTCAAAGTACATTACAACAATTAACAACCACACACGCTTCCTTCCGTCAGGCCGAAGGACCCCTGAGCAGCATTGATTGCTCCACCACGGGAGGATTGACTGTCAGCTTGCCTTGTCCCACTCTTTCCTCTCAGATCCAGAATCCAGATCTGTCAGATAAAGCAATAAATGCTAGAAAGATCACCCCTGTTGGCCTTACCCAACCTGGTCCTTCCCATAAGCCACTTYGSYCCCCCTTCGGACGGCCGACAGTTAACCCTGAGACCTACACCCTCAGTCTGCAATCTTATCGTCAGAACGTCAAAAT